GTCCCTGTTGCACCTTTGCTCCCACTGTTTTTTTTCTCAGTGTCTCATCGTAGTTGTTCTGGGTGTAAATTCTCAGTTCAGGCCAACTTTTAATGTGTTTTTTTTTTTTTTCCCTTCTCTGGGCAATATTGAAATGGCACAAAAGCCAAACGTGACTCACGTTTGCTCCTGAAGGAGGCAATGTGATTAGATTTACTTGACAAATTAAGCTTGTTACCATAATCTGCCGTGTGCTAATTTAAATAATGGATGTATTGAAAGGAAGATGTTTGTTAAATGTGATAAATTTGCTAGGAATGGAGAAGTCTAAGCTCAATTTGGAGTCGGGGGGGGGGGGCCTCCCCTGCCACCCCACCAGCATTGCTTCAAAGGGAGCAGTCCCTTCTTGGCTCCGCTGACTTGTAAGTAAGGCATAAAGAAGGCAATAAAATGTTTGACTTCCCTGCCAGACCTGAGCCTGGAGGAGGAGGAGGAGGAGGATCCCAATTGGTTTCCATCAGATTCCAGTTAGCATGGATTTACGGTTTCCACTTAGCCTGATAAATGGCTTTGGCTGCCTTGGTGCGTTTGGATTGCTTTTTCTGCGCGATGGAAAGTGGTCAGCTTGAAAAAGGCACAGGCTTTCCAGGGTTGCCGTGAATACGAGTGAAACTTCTTTCTGAGGTAAGAAGGCAGCAGGCAAAAAAAAGAAAGCCACGGCGTGTCATGGAATATGGGTGGAATCGAAAAGAAATCAGAAGTATTTTGAGTCCCTTGTGCTTGCTGTGGCAATGGGCTGTGATAGGCATAAAAATTCCACTGGAAACTGGAAAAATTCTTCAGATTTCCTCGCTTTCCTCAGAAACCACACTTAGCAGCAGGTATCAATAGCTCCCAGTGTTCAGACTTTGTTTGCATCGTTCTTTCCATGGACGGTTCCCATGAGAAGACAGCAGAAGCAGATTAACGGGGCGAGCTGGGGGAAGCAGCTTTCCCCATTGCTGCCTGCCCTCCTCCTCCTTCCACCCCAGTGGGGGTGGCTGGGCTGCAAAATCTATTTCAATGCATATTTAGGGAGCGGCCTTGCCTCTTGGTTCTGCTCGAGGTTGGCAGGTGACACATCTTGGTGTCTTCTAGTGCGTTGCCTGTGCTTCCCCTGCTCTGTTTGCCGAGGCGGTGGTTGAGCAGGCCATGGCGTGTGGGATGCTTTCTCCTGGCTTGCTGGGAGACCTGCTGCGTGGGTGCTGCTGGAGAGACCTGCTGGTGGTGGCGTGCTTGTCTGGACTTCCATGGACCTGGACCTCCATGGATGGTGGCGAGCTTAGGGCTGGATTGTGCTGTGGGTGAGCTTAGGCACATCAGTCACGTTTAATATAGTCATAGAGTTGTCCAGGCTGGAAGGGACCTCCAAAAGTCATCTAGTCCGACCTCCCCGCAGTCAGCAGGGACACCCCCAACTAGACCAGGTTGCCCAGGGCCTCGTCGAGCCTCTCCTTGAATATCTCCAGGGAAGGGGCCTCAACCACCTCCCTGGGCAACCTGTTCCAGTGCTCCACCACCCCCACAGTGGAGAACCCTCTCCTAATCTCCAATCTAAATCTGTTCCCCTCCAGCTTGAAGCCATTGCCCCTCGTCCTGTCACTACAGGCCTTTGTAAACAGGTTCTCCCCAGCCTTCCTGTAGGCTCCCTTCAGGTACTGGAAGGCTGCTATTAGGTCTTCCCTGGAGCCTCCTCTTCTCCAGGCTGAACAGCCCCAGCTCCCTCAGCCTGTCCTCGTAGCAACAATGAGCCATTCAAAGGAGGCTTTGCAACAGCTTCTCCTCAAAGCACCCAGGTGTCCCCACCTTTAGTTTTCACACCTTGAGAGCCTGAAGCCACATGTGCATCTTCCTTCCTCCGAGGCTGAGCCACGAGGTCTGGCATTTTCTTTCCCTGACCCCATCCAGCAGTGGGGATGTCTGTCCTGAGGATGTTGGGTTTGGTAGAAGTTGGCCTGTGGACACCATGGCAAAGGGTGGGTACGTTTTCATAAAGGTTTATAAAGTCAAATCATTGTAACTATACTTAAAATACTTGGAATGGCCTGAGATTTTGACATTCCAAGCTACTTTAGGTTGTAAAAATAGGGAAAAGACTTATTTGGCCATAGGGTCACAAATGGTGCTTACAACCCCATTGTCATCATTGCAGACAGCGTTTGGTCATGCAAAGTGAAACCTTTATAGGCTGTTGAGGTCCTTAAGTTAAGATATAATTAAAAAATGAAGGTGGGAGAATATTTAGAAATATTACCTATTTCCCCAGGCCATTCCATGTATCTTCTAAGAGGGCTTTCTCTGATGACTTTGACCCAGAGACCTTGCAGCTCCCAGGCTGCATCTCTTGAGCATCTTCTGTGTGTCCTACAGCATCCCCCCTCCTCTCGTGCTCGGTCCAAGGTCAGCTTCTGAATGTGCTGGCTGGTTTCAGGCTGGTTGGGTGATGTTAGGACAGGGCTGGGCAGGGAACAGTGGGGTCTGATGCTTAATGCCTTAAGCACAGGGCTTCATCCATCTGCCTGGTACCATCTCCACTGGGGGCAAAGCTGCAACATGAGCTCACTCCTTATAAGACATCAGAGAATCCACATGAGAGCCACTGCTGTCGGGATGACCCCGGCCGGGGAGGGCTCCTGTTGGGGACCTCACAGCGCGAGGCGCCGGGGAACAAATCATGAGACACGAGTCCATAGGAAAATCACTTTATTAATTCTGGTGCTCGTGGAGCTGCTTGTTTTTTGTCTCCCCTCATTGTCTGTATAATTTAGAGATGATTTTTCCATCTCGGCTTATGAAATATTGAGAGCTTCAGTATTTTGCGCAACCTTCATCAAAAAAAAAAAAAAAAGCATCAGAAGCCCCAGCGAGCTAAACTTTCTGAAATTAAATGTTTTATTGACGTGCCTTGCCAGCAGCCCTACCAGCGGGCACTAGGGCACAGAAAGCTGGGGGGGGATGACAATCAGAAGGTGCTGGTGGATCCCACCCGGCTTTGCTGGATGTTCCAGGTATTTGTGAGCTGATACTTGGTTGTGATCCCCCTTTTTTTAACTGAAACATGGGAAATTACAACAGCCAAAAGTCTCCAGCCCAAATGCCTCCCCGTAATGATCAGCCGGAATCCTGCCCGTGCTGGAGACCCATCCTCCATGGAAGAACAACATGGCCCATGGCTTCATGACACATGCCATGCCTGCTCGTAGAATGCTTTTTAATACTTCCTTTAAAGCACTTTTGGCTTTTTTTTCTCTTCTCCCTTTACAGCCTTTTCCCCTCCCAAAGGGAAGTGGAGGTACCTTCTGCTAATTAGGAGGAAGAGGCAGAGCAGCCGGGGGTGAAGGGTTTTGGTGGGATGCTGGGGGGGGTTAGTACTTCTAGAATGTTTACGGACATGGCTTAGCAGTTAGCAGCAGCCTCCCAAAGTGTTAGAAATTTCATAAAAAGAAGCATTTTGCTGTCTGTGGGTGAGTAAATATCCCGCCAAAGCTTAAACCAACCGCAGGGAATTCAGCTCGTGTGATTTCTGGGCTTTTTTAAAAAAAAAACAGCATCCCTGGGCTTGGGTGATGGGCAGGTTTTTGGTTTGCTGTCCTAGCAGGGAACGTAGGTCCCTGGTTCTCCAAAAAAGTAGCTGGAGGGAGAGGTGGTGTTGCCTGCAGAGATTTGGGAAGGATTCTATCAAGATCTGAACCTGCTCGGCTCAGAGAAACATGGCCCTGGAGTGGTCAATCCCTCCTGAGATATTAGAACGTGCCCGTGCCTGGTCCACGAGCAAAATGTGAGCGTCGCTTCCCCTCCCCGGGTGGTTTTATGGGAGCTGGGAGGAGGATGGTTTGGACAGTCACCAAGGAGGGGTGGTTGCCCCTTCTTTGGGGCAGTGCTGTGGGATGCTGGGGATAAGGAGTGGTGGTGTGTAAATCCCTGTTTCCCCAGCGCCCGGCTGGTGGTGACTGGTGCTGGGCTGATGGGATTAGTCAGGGGCCTCCAGTTAATGGCTGTTGTTCCCCCCACACCTTGGGCAGGGGCTCTTCAGGATGAGATGGGGGGGTTGTAGGTGGCAGAGCTGTATATTAAAGGGCGGAAAGTGTATTAAGGGGGGAAAAAATGGTCAAATGTGGTTGTGTCTGGTGGGTTTCTCTTAGGAGCCTCCCTTGGTGCTGTGAGATCCCTGGTAGAGTTTACTCCCCCCTATAGAATGTTTCGGATTTACATTTTCCTTTAACACTTCCTCTTGGAGCCCAGTAATATGTTACACATTTAATTGCTCTGCCTTTGAATTTTCCAGCCCCTGGTTTGGTACCCTTGCAACATCAGTATCTTGTTATCTTGTTGTTGCTGCTAATTGCTACCACATGACAGCTTTCCACGGCTGCTGGGGCTTGGAGGGGAGGTTACTGGGGGGGGGGGGGGACCTTTGGGAAAATTATTTCC